TCTGTTATTTCCAGTTTTTACAGAGATGGTTGGTGGGATATGGAGAAACTAAGGGCTGCTTTACCTGATGAGCTGGTCCAAAGAGTTATTAGCTGTCCTGTGGGGTTTAATAGTGGGCTACAGGATGCTCAAATTTGGAAGTTTTCCTCCAATGGGATTTTCTCTGTAAAATCTGCTTATAATATGGTTTTTGAGGGCTCTACTTGCTCTGATGTTGCTTGGACGTTTTTGTGGAAGCTGAGGATTCCTCCCAAGTTGCATATTTTCTTTTGGCTTGTTTTTCAAGGAAAAATTCTTTCTAATGAGCAAAGAGTCAGAAGACAGCTATCTTTGGATGCTTCTTGTGGATCGTGTCATTGGCCTATGGAGTCTATACTCCATATTCTTCGTGATTGTGTTAAGGCTAAGAAGGTGTGGAATGCTCTTCTCAATTCTAGTCAAAGTGCTAGATTTTTTACTATGGACTTTCAACCTTGGCTTAGAGTAAATTTGATGTCGAAGATTGTTTGGGCTGATGGTATTCCTTGGAATTTGGTCTTTGTTTTCACATGTTGGTATATATGGAAATGGAGGAATCACTATGTGTTTCATGGTGATGAAGACTTGGCTTTTGACTCCATACAAATTATTACTGCTGCTGTGAAGGAATGGTTTAAAACTTCTAATGTTTCTTTTACCAAGTGTGCTAAGGTTGAGGCTTGGTTTGCTTGGGAACCTCCTCCTGCTGGGGTCTTTAAACTGAATGTTGATGGCTCTAGGAAAGTTGCTTCTGGCCATATTGGTGCTGGAGGTGTGTTGCGTGATGTTTCTGGTGATTGGTGTAGTGGGTTTGCTATTAATTTGGGTAAAGGGCAGATTCTAGAGGCTGAATTATGGGGTCTGTTCTTTGGTCTGAGGATGGCTATTGCGAAAGGGTTTAATAACCTTATCGTTGAGATGGATTCGGCTGTTGCTATCCAGCTTGTTCAGCAGCATGATTCTCTTACAGTGCACCCTCTTGCATCTCTGGTCTCTAGCTGTTGGCAGTTAATGCAGCAGCTTGAGAAGTGCAGCATGCGTCATATTTTTAGGGAGAAAAACAGTGTTGCAGATCGTCTGGCTGCTTGGAGTTATAACTTAGATCTTGGTATCTGCGTTTTTGATGAGGCTCCAAGTTGGATTGGGACTTCTTTGGTGGAGGATTTGTTAGGGGTGTCTAGGCCCCGGTTGATTTGTGTTGGTTAGTTTGTTTTGTTTGTTTGGGGTTTTCCCCCCCTTTTCACCAAAAAAAAAAAAAGAAACATAAGGAGATGTTTATTTAACAAGAGGCCTTTTATTTTGTCTCAAATGAATTGCGACATCGCATGCATAACAAGTTTATATGATTTAGGAAAGAAAAAAAAATTTGTGTTGATAAGTATTGTTATGTATAAATTTTTTAATACTCCATGAAACTTGATTGATTATATTTTACATTTGTATTTCTATAATGATATGGTACCACTGTTAAGCCCATCACGCAATGGATTTCCTTCCAATTTTTCGTGATAAAGTAATAGATAATTAACTAAATAAATATCCTCCAAAGTTTCAAGAAAAATTTCCAAGTCTTTCTTACAATTTCAGCCAAAAGTCATTTTTGGTCCCTGTAGTTTGGCACTTCAACCACTTTTGACCTTGTAGTTTCAATTCCGTCAATTTTGTCATTCTAGTTTCATAATTGTAGCAATTTAAGGACCATTCTAATTTCCATCAAATTATTCTAACTTTTGTTATCTATTTAGGGATATTTTGGTCCAAACTTGCATCTCCTCCCCCAACCTGCCAACAGTCAAGAGTAGTTATTTCCTATGTAGTTCCATCCAACTTTCCATTAAAAATAATTAAATCTTTAAAAACTAAAAAAACAAAAATTAACAAAAATTAAAAATTAAAAAAAAAAAAAAACCTAGCAATCAACGTATTCCCCACCCCATCCCCCAAACCCTATCTCTGCAATCCCACATCCGCAAGGGTTTTCTAGTGAAAGAGCAGCAGCAGAGGTGGAGAAGAAGGAGGACTTGAAGATATACCCACCTCTACAACACTGCCATGAACATTGCTATGTTTTTCTAAGCAAACCAATTTGCAATGTTCTAAATCAAACCAATTTGGGTTTAGGGATTTCTTCTCCTTCCACTTTCTAGGTTTAGAAATTTACAAACCATGGCTAGATGGTCTGCGACAGCATCAGGGTTGGGTGATTTGAGTTTCAAAGGTTGAGGGCTAAATTGAGTTTTTGGTAAAGGAGAGAATCCCTTATTTAACAGGGTAATCAAGGAATAGAAGCTACCATCTTAGGGGGAGGATCTATTATCTCTCTGCCCAGCTCCTCGTCTAGCAGCCAAGAACAAGAGAGCTACTTCGAACAACTTCTTTTATTGAATCCCCGAAAAGCCCTCTCCTTAGCCTACTCAGAATGACAGGACCCGCCCTGAATTTCTCGAAACCCGGGATGAATCCTGTGGAAATCCCGCATCATGCCAATACCGGGCTCACTCACTAAAACTATAACCTCCTTTTCCAAAAAGGAGTAAAGGCACGAGACTTTCAATCGAAAATTCGGCAGAGTCTCCCTTGTAAATTGAATGTTTCCCAAAATTTCAACCTGCATAAAATACATTTAATATCCTCAACCAGCAGCATGCGCAAGATAATTTCATGCAATTTACATAATCGGCATCCAGCCTTCCTATACATCGTAGCTATACCACCAACAACGCTATCAAATCAAATAAGGTTCTAAACCAAGCATATAATAAGTTCAACCAAAATTTTCAAATGCTCACTGTATCAACATAATTTAACTTCCCAATTTCCATCATGAGATGTCTCAACCAAACCAAAACACAAGTAGTTTAAGGCCCTGGCCCAAATCATACAACGATCCAAAACGGATTTCAAACTGTTGAGGCCCAAAAAATCCACGCTTCCGCCCAAATAAATTATCGGCCCAATGCGATACCTTATCAAGAAGAAACCCGATTTAGGCACACGAAAGTTCGTCATATACGCTTTGCACACATGCCACGCCAAGCAAATAAGCAACATGCCACGCTACAAGCTTAAGTGGGCCCAAGCCACGCAAGATGCCTGGGGCTTGCTTGAGTGGGTTGTGGTATGGATGGTAATAAGTTGTCATGAGGCCCATTGATGGATCGAGAAATGGAGGTTCCAGGTTGCTTGGGAGCCTCGGAACCCAAGCCCATTTCTTAGGCCCAAACATGTGGGTGAGCACAAAAGAGAAAGTAGCCCAACCGAAATAGCCCATTACTCCAACCAAAATAGCCCATCACTTCAACCAAACTAGCCCATCACTTCAACCAAACTAGCCCATCACTTCAACCAAACTAGCCCATCACTTCAACCAAACTAGCCCATCACTTCAACCAAACTAGCCCATCACTTCAACCAAACTAGCCCATCACTTCAACCAAACTAGCCCATCACTTCAACCAAACTAGCCCAATACTTGATGAAGTTAGCCCATGTACTTGATAAACCAACTTATTGTCATAGAAGGCCTAAGCAACCCAAAAAAATATCTGCAAATCTTCAGCACCTAGCTGAAAACAAAAGCCACGTTGAAAGCCAAAATATCCATGTGTGAAAGCTGCTGGAAAGCTCCAGCACATGGAAGGAATAAGTTTCAAGCAAAAACTTCCAAATGACCAAGGGATATTGGAGCGCAGATCACCATTTGAACCAGCATGCATACCTATTTATTTCCCTCACCAGACCTAGCCTTGGAAGAAGGAAGAAAAAAAGAAAAAAAGATGGCTGAAAATAGGAGTCTGAAACAGCTGCGGGAAAAGGGGCCTTGAGCACCTAAAATCCCTGATTTTATGCAAATGGCAGAGGAAATTTCACCAAAATAGGATGATTGAAGGGATGAGGGGAGAAAGGAAGGGAAAGGCTTGACAAAATGGGAAGGAAACCATTAGGGTTTCTTGGAAAATGTCAGCTTCCAGCGGCTATAAATTGAGGCATTTTCTACCAACGGAGGGAACCCACATCTAGAGAGCAAGCTTCATCTCTCACCATGAAATCTCTGCAATTTCGTGCCCTAATCCTCTATCCCCTCCCACTTTCCATTCTGCCATACCATTCTAGAGTCTGACATAGCTTTTGTCAGGCTGCTGAAAACTTACCCAAACCACCAAATACTTCACCATTAGCCACAACTCAAACCCAGAGAGCAAGCTTTCTCTCTAACGTACAAAAACGCAGCAATCTCGTGCACTGTTCATCTTCTTCTCCGTTTTGCTCTTCTGGCAGCTGCCGGAAGAACTCTGCTCTTCATTTTTCCTTTCCTAGCCAAATCTCTTACAAAACTTCTCCTTCCTTACCCTAACACTTCCTTTTCCCTCAAAGCAAGCCTAAATTTTCTCTTAGTGCCAAACTCATGTTGATTTTGGTCCCATGCCACATGCCACTCACGCTGCTCTTGAGAGTTTATCTGTAAGCATGAAGAAATAACCTATAAGCTGCCATTATTTTGGTTGGTGAAGATAACCGAAATACTTCTTAAGGCTCTACTGCCTTTTCGAGGTATTTTGGGGCCTAATTTTTGAACTCAGGCAAAGGGGACAATTTCATCAGTCTGCCCTTTTACAGCAGCCTAGCCTATTTGCAGCTGCTGGAGGAAAAAGTCCCCTACACAAACCTAACTTAACCACAATCACACAATAACCACATTCGCTTAGTCCAACGGAGTAATAATAAATATTTATTCAATCAAGCCTCGTTTTCATCCGAGTTTTAAGACCAACGACAAGTTCATAAGTAAAATTTAGCCTGCGGCTGCACCTAGGCACTACCTTAGGCTGCCTACGTACCCTTACTAAGGGATCAAGCCACACGTAGTTCTTTCTCTAAAATCCTTTACTTTAAATCACGACTCACTAAACACAATCTTTAATTTATCTCCCTAATAATCACATAATCTCCTCATACGCCGAAACATCCAACGCCACGTATAGGGCCTGTCAACACGCCGGAAAATCCTACACCATGTGCAACCTCTCATCTCATATCACATAATCTCCCCATACGCCGAAACATCCAACGCCACGTATGGGGTTTGTCAACACGCCAGAAAATCCTACGCCACGTGTGACCTCTCATCTCATATTACATAATTTCCCCATACACCGAAACATCCAATGCCACGTATGGAGTATGTCCTCACGTTGGAAAATCCTACGCTACGTGGTACCTAACAATCACATAATTTCCCCATACGTCGGAACATCCAACGCCACGTATGGGATCTGTTAACACACCGGAAAATCCAACGCCACGTGTGACCTCTCATCTCATATCACATAATCTCCCCATACGCCGGAACATCCAATGTAATGTATAGGGTCTGTCAACGCGCCAGAAAATCCAACGCCATGTGTGACCTCTCATCTCATATCACATAATCTCCCCATACGCCGGAACATCCAACGCCACGTATGGGGTCTGTCAACACGCCAGAAAATCCAACACCATGTGTGACCTCTCATCTCATATCACATAATCTCCTCATACGCCGGAACATCCAACACCACGTATGGGGTCTGTCAACACGTCAGAAAATCCAACGCCACGTGTGACCTTTCATCTCAAAGCATGGTACTTACACAGTGTAATCAACATCTTTATCTCTTTAGTGTGTGTGTGTGTATATATATATATAGCTTTCTCCCAATAAATAATATTCACTTCCGTTTTCCCCTAGTTTAAGACAATAACTAATACCGTAATCCCACCTTATCAACATAACTCAACTAACGCTCAAGACCTGTCCATATGGTCATTTTAATCCTCCTATGAAGGTAAGACTACCCCGGAAGACCCACGGTCAATCAAGGGTCAAGCTACCCAAACTTGGTCAAACGGGCTCACGGGGCCCACGACCTCCAAATTCCAATCAGAAAGTTTCCATAGGTCCTACAAGGTTTAGGACACACATCCTACAAGTTTGATCCATATCGAACGGTCGGATCACTCACGATCCCACAATCGGACGGTTACTGTAAACCTAGCCCTAAGATTGGCATTTTAGGAGTATTCGGGACTCTGTTTTACGATCCGTCGAATCCTACACGATCCTAAGAATGTCCAGATTAACCTAGAATTTTAGGAGTATTCGGGACTCCGTTTTACGATCTGTCGAATCCTACACGATCCTAAGAATGTCCAGATTAACCTAGAAAAAAAATCAAGACCATCTAATGGTCCAAACCTAGCAAACCCGGATAACGCGCAATAGGTGATATCCATCCCAGACTCAAACGGTATCCAAATTGAAATCCAAGTACACCAACGTACTCGTGAGGACCAGGAGATTACATTGGGACACAATGCCCTTTTTCTGTAGTGCTCACGCGCCCCCAGCGCGTAGGTGTCCAAAGCGATTACGCTTCACTGGAAAATATCAAAATCACTGCTCAAGACTCCTACCCTAGGTATAACACCCTATTTGGAACCACTTTTGTTCACCTACCCCAAAAACTGACCGGAACTGGCCGAAATCGCAATCTCAAAATCGACCGAATTTCAATCCGTAAATCGAACCATCAACACTCAAAGTTAATGAAATCCTCAACCATCAGCTAGATTATGAAGAGTGGATGAATTTCCATACCTGGATAGCCAAAAATGGCTGCCGAATGACGGAGAATGAAGCCGGCAAAGATAGAGCGAAAAACCGACCCTTTCACAGCTTTTTCCGGAGGCTACAACGGCGGATCGAGGCGGCGAAGGGCTGAGGCTGGAAGAGGACGGTGGCCTGGTCATTTTGGTACCGGCCCCATCAACTTTGGTGGCTGGATGAGAGAACGGCCAGCCAAAATGTGGCCGGTTGTTGCTGCCGTCATGAGAGAGGAGAGAGAGAGAGGGGGGAAAAAAAGGGAAATGCACGTACATACTCACAAACCAGAAATCTTAATCAAGAATACTCACTTTGCAAATATTAACCACAAATACTCACTTACTCATGTGAAAGTACTGAACTGCCCTTCATATAAATAGATATTATATTGACCATGTATCCTTCTCTGAAACCCAATTCCTCCCAACTCTTCCTTCCTCTCTCGCAGTCCTCTGTCGTCCCCATCGCACATCTAGAACGGCGAATCAATTCATAGCATTATAGCACATCTGGAAGAAAGGCATAACGCAAGAAGATCGTTTTCAAAATTTCTGAGGTTTGTTTAGTGTTGCTAATGGTTGAGGTATGCTAGTGTTTTGAGATGTGAAATTGTGGTTTTCTCTAATGGTTGAGGTATGATAGTCTTTTGTATTTTTCAGTTCGTATCATGTGAGTTTCTGTTGAGTATTGATATAGTGATTCTTAATATGCTTCCGGATATGTTTTCTGCTGAAATTCCTTATATGAAGTGTATGAATTTTGAATTCGAAATTGTTGCATTTGCCTTATCAAAACCTGATATGGATGCAAATAGGTCTTGTTGCGATTGATTTTATTATTTATCAGAACATGGGAAAGCTGAAAATAGGTATCTTCATGAGATCCTTGACCAAAATTTGAAGTATTGCAAGAGCATTAAGTAGACCTCCCCTGATATATACTGCTTCAGAAAATTTTGGTTGTTCTGTTCACTATTGCCTTCTTTAGGAAGCTTATAAATTACATGTGGAGCTTCTTGAGTCAAACAATTCCACATTACCCCATTATTGTTCACCCTTTGAGGTGTTTTGATGTCTGGTTCTGTGCCTCTTATTTTGTTTGACAATTTCTTTGTGCTTTATGTGTTCCACTTTTTGCGATTTTCTCTTGTTGGTGTTCTAGGTTAGGAAGCTCCTTGCCAATTAGTCTAGGAATTTCGTATGTAATAGGGCATGAATGTCTTGTGAGAAGAATTGTAATTTATGTAGGAAGCTTTGGTAATACAATAACAAATTTTAGAAATTAAATTATTCCAATTACAAATGTGAGAGAGTTACATACTTTAACTTAATGTTTATACTTGCACTTTTCTGAATCTTTAGTTTTGTTGTCATACTTTGGTGAATAAAAAGCAATTGGGAATGTTGCAGAAATGGGGAGTGGGGAACTACACATGCGAGAGAATATCACCTTCATAACACAGCTCATCACTTGGAGGTTCGAGATTGGACAAAAGCTACTGGTTTCTTCACGGTTAGAAGATGGCTTGAGAAATGAAGATGCTCCACCAGTTTTGTTTCACCACATAAACATTGTTGTAATAGGAGTGGAATTGGATATTAGTTGTGCTTTGATGTGATCAGCTATTCCTTATTTATTAGTTGTGGTTTCATGAATTAGTAACCATGAAACTAGAGTGGATAGAGAAACTGCATCTGTATATGTTTAGCTAATAAGTAGCCTCGCAATGTAAACTCAAGTTTATGTATTGCGCCTTCTTATTATGCCTCTATTGTTGTCTTAACTATTTTTTCTCCTCTGTCTTGACAATTACAAAGCTAAAGTTGGACTAAGAG